TTGCCGGTCACGGAAAAAAAAAAAAAAAAAAAAAAAAAAAAAAAAAAAATATTCAGAAGCTCTTTTTGAAAACGCTAATATCCTTGGGTGCTATGCCATTTCAAGTTCATTGTTAGTGAATAATTAAGGAAGAAGGAAAAGCTGGTGATGAGGTGGATGGATTTGTCAATAGCTGTGGAATAAGAGAAGAGAAAGAGAGAAAACATAGTTTTCAGAGAGCAGCTACAGGAGCCATTTTGGAGGCTCAAAAGTGGACTTTATTGTCTCAAGGCTACTGGTAACTCCAGGTTGTTTCAGCCTTGTGTATCTGAAGGCCCAATCACTAACATTATGTGGCTAATGAAAACCGCCCCATGTATATAAACCCTTAAGATGCCTTTGGAAAATAGAAAAGGGAAAAGAGAAAAGAAAAACAATGTAAGAAAGTGTAGAAGAGCCTTCTCTCCAACATTTCTGAGAGAAGATGGGAGCTGAAAACCTCAAACAAAATGTTGCCCCAATCTCACTCGACTAATTTTAGTTATCTTGTTTCATGGCTATGATTCATCCCTAAAGCTGTGAATTGCTGAGGGGGAAGGAGGAAAAAAAATTGACTTAAATGTCAAAGAAGTAGGAACATAAATATAGTTTTCTTTTTTGAGGAACTAGAATTCCAGGATATGGGAATCTTTTTCTCATGAGGGACTGAATGCTTCAAACTTCTAGAAAAATAATGATCTCCAGTCAAAACATCACCAAGGAATAAAAGCAGGAATTGATTCTGAGTCATATCATGTCTGAATTTTTGCATCCATACTGCATTTTCCTTTTCTCCTGTGTACATCCTAAATCTAGTTAAACTAGAAATCACTAATAATCATGTGTAGTTGAATATGATGGAAACTTAACATGTAGATTATAGTGATATATGGAACTCACAAAATAGGTGAGGGAGAAATGAACGGAGATAAGTAGAATTATGAGAAACAATTATGGGAATGGGATGGGAGCACAGAGAAGAAGGACATGTCTGAATGGTGGCCAGATGTTCTCTTGCCTGCTGAAGAGCAGGGAACAACAGAGACGGTTTGGCAAAACTCCATCCTAAGTAAAGAAAAATGTTTTTCAATTTACCAGGTGTCCCCTAGTCAACTGGTTACCATTTTGGATTTCCATAGATTTGGAGGAAAGACAAGTCACTAACCAGAACTCACTTGAATGATTTCACTGTCTGCAGTAGCTGACCCTCTACCACCAGCCTAGCCACTAGCTGTGTGTGTGTTTCTTTCTGTTCTTAAAACTTCTGAGTAGCAAAAGAAATATAGATGGTTATAAAACTATGGCCCAGGACATTGGAGGAAGGTAATATTGTGTAGAAGGCAAACGGGAAAGAAAGAGTTCCAGTGACTTCAGAGTGGAGTCTCCACGTCTGGAAGCCATGAGGAGAGTGGCCCCAGGCACAAGTGTGAATGCTGAGCCCAGCAGCTGTTTGGCCTTCAGCCTCCCCAGAACACTCTCCTCCTCTTTATCATGGCTCTGCCTGAGCAGCAGCAGTTGCTGTATCTTATCACCCAAGACCCAAGTGTCATTGAGTTTATGTGACAAATGCATCTTGATGATAACCTTTCAGGATACTCAGGAGGTGGAAGGGACTCTGGAGGCGGCAGCATCGTGCTGCTTGGTTTACCAGTGAGAAAGCCAAGACCTGGAAAATCTAAGAGACTCTCTTGCCCATTCCATGCCCTCTTTTGCATCTTCTGGAAGATGTCAATTAACACCATGACTGTGACTACCTGTTATTGTCTCTAGTTGAGCTATTTTAAGGTCCACAGAAGATATTTGTCAGAAGGGTCTTTGGCCACTCTCATTTCAGATTAGCTGGGCCCACTGCCTTTATTACAAATTCAGTTCTTTTCAGACTGGGTATATTTAATTTTCTGAGCCTCTGCTAGGTGTGCCAAAGTGCAATGAAGACAGGTTTCTACTCCTTTCTTTCAGTGATCAACTTTTACCACGTGTGGCCGTGTTATAGGTTGAATTGTGTTCCCAAATAGATATGTTGAAGTCCTAACTCCCAGTATCTGGGAATATGACCTCATTTGGAAATAGAGTCTTTGCAGACTTAAGCAAGTTAAGATGAGGTCATTAAGGGGGGTCCTCATCTAATATGACTGGTGCCATAAGAAGATAGCCTTGTGAATCACAGAAGGGAGGGCACTGTGGGACGACAGAGGCAGAGATTGAAGTGCTGCAGCTGCAAGCCAAGGAATGCCAAGCATCACAGGCCACAACCAGAATCTAGGAAGAGGCAAGAAAGGACTGTCCTCTGCAGGTTTCAGAGCGAGCACGGCCCTGCTGACACCTTGATTTCAGGTGTGTAGCTTGTGAACTGTGAAACAATACATTTCTTTTTTTTATTTTCCTTTTTGTCTTTTTTTTTTTTTTTACTGACCGGTAACGGGATCGCAACCCTCAGTGTTGCGCCCGCACCACGCTCAGCCAGTGCGCGGGAACCGGTCTCCACATGGGATCTGAACCCTCGGCGGGAGGGCCGCCGCGCCCCCCAACCCCGCCCCCCCCCCCGCGCCCCCCCGGCGGGCCCCCATCTTTTTTTTTTTTTTTATTTTTTACTGACCGGTAACGGGATCGCACCCCTCAGTGTTGCGCCCGCACCACGCTCAGCCAGTGCGCGGGAACCGGTCTCCACATGGGATCTGAACCCTCGGCGGGAGGGCCGCCGCGCCCCCCAACCCCGCCCCCCCCCCCGCGCCCCCCCGGCGGGCCCCCATCTTTTTTTTTTTTTTTATTTTTTACTGACCGGTAACGGGATCGCACCCCTCAGTGTTGCGCCCGCACCACGCTCAGCCAGTGCGCGGGAACCGGTCTCCACATGGGATCTGAACCCTCGGCGGGAGGGCCGCCGCGCTCCCAAGCGGCGCACTCTCCAGTGCGCCACCGGGCTGGCCCAATATATTTCTATTTTTCAAGCCACCAAGTTTGTGGTACATTGTTATGACAGCCCTAGGAAACGAATACGAGTAATGAAGTAAAAAAGGCTAAGAGGAAGGGCGACTGCATGCTGAAAGAAGGAAAGGAAGAGGAATTTCTTCTCTTGGGATGGTTTACTAATGAATTGGAATTAAGTTTTGATTAAAATGATCCAGAGTGATGCCACATGACCATTTGAAAAAGAATTCATGAGGGGACTCTGTCTGTCCATTTCTGTAAAATATAATGTATTTTGCTATTTAAATAAATTCTATCATAGAATAGTCAGCTGTTTTTCAGTGTGCTTGATTAATAATCTGTTTTGTTTTCCTTAACTCAATTGCTTTGGTATTTTTTGTTTTATTTATTTTATGTTGTTAGATTTTATTTTGTAGCATAATATACATGCATATATTTTATCAAAATATGGAATGAAAGGCACTTTAAAAATATTAAATATCTGTAATATGCTTTTCAGATTTAAATGGAGTTCTATCTCGAGATCCATGTTCCACGGCTCTGATTTACCCTCTATAAATAGTATTAAAGATTAAATCAGGTCTTGCTTAAAATAACCAATTTCAGTAGTTTCCTTTGTAATGCAGTTCTCTATTTACAAATAGCACAAATGGAGGTAAAGACTACTTATAATCACAGTTTTCAAAACAACAACAAAAAAGAATTTTAAGGTCTTACAAATTGTAGTATATGCTGAGTGCCCCAATTTAAAAATGTATATCAAGAATCTTCACATGTCACCCAATTGTTTAAGTATGGCTACATTCTATAAGCTTCTCCAAGGCAAGTCTTCTCTATTATACAAGGGTACTTCAAAAAGTTCATGGAAAGATTCCTATTATCTTCTCATTTTATTTTTCCATGAACTTTTTGAAGGACTCTCATATTTGAACAACTCAAGGGTCTTTTAAGAAAGAGTTCCCCTGCATACTTAGTGGCTGAACGAACACCCAAGAATTGGGACACATGGATCTATCTCCTCATTGACCGGATATATTAATTCTTCTCAGAAACCATTCTGGATTGTTTCAAACCCTTCTGATTAGAGGTGAAGAGTTCAGCTTATGGTCTATGTAGAGCACACCTGAGTGCCCCTGTCTTTGAAGGCAGTGGGATAGACAAGTCAGATCCAATGTCAAAATCAGTAAACCATTCATGTATTACAATGCTCCATCTGTAGGACATTTTTGGCCCCCCTTATTCTAGGAGTCACACGATCTGATCCTAGATGCTGACACAAGAAGTTGGATTAAGAAGTACTATACTCCTCATGAGAAATACGGAGCTAAGACTACTTACTTGAGTGTGGTGAGTTCCGTGAGGGATGGCTGAGTAGCCTTGAGATAGCTTTCTCTTCGTGCAGCAACTTTGGGAGAAGGCTTGGGACTCGTGTCTGAGTCGCCACTGTCTTCATCGCCCATGGCCTTGATGTAGCTGCCACTCCGCATTCTTCGGCATGGAATTTCATCGTCTTTACCTCGAGGGGTGTACCCCGTCCATTCATCTTGGGGAACCTATTCCAATACAAAACAGATAATTTGCTTTTTATAAAATCCTACCTTTTTCTTTTCTTTCCTTTTCTTTTGTATGACCCTGCGTATTGGTAATGTACATAATTACCTAAAACTTTAGACATTAACATTTCAGTAATAGTGTTTTATGGGAATATGTCTAAGAATGTCTTGAATATGTGCAACGCCATGTCTCAATCTTTAAAACAACTTGTGCATTAGAAAGAATTAAAACCATCAGTTCTGATTCGTGTATACTTTTCAGTTTTCTCACCCTGATAACAGTCGTCAGGCATAAGAATGCCATAAAAAAGGAGAGCCATTTTATTTGAGCTTTTCAGTGATTTGTTTTCTATTGTCACTTAAAATTCAAAAATGTTTTCTGATTTATCTATGCTTTCCCTGAACCTTCATCTTTACCTTGTCATATCCACTCTATCTTTTTCCTAAACCAGTGGTCTACACTGGCTACACGCACTTCCCCATTGCCTATTCTTTCTGAACACTCCCTAGTTTGTGTTCGGCCTCCATAGATCTGCTTACAGCACTCTTTGAAGGTTTCCAATGATCTCCTCATGAACGCTAATGGCATTTTCTTGATTTTCTATTTTGTCGGCTTCTACACACGCATTGCACACACATACACACAAGTAACACCTCTTGAGAGCTTCTCTCCTTTTGGCTCTGACTGCTGCACTTACCTGGTAGAGCTACTACTTATCTGAATCGCTCTTTTCCTCTTGCTATGCTGGAAGCTGCACTAAGTCCTTAATGTGGGGAATGTTGTCAGAGAGCTTCTCTCCTTTTGGCTCTGACTGCTGCACTTACCTGGTAGAGCTACTACTTATCTGAATTGCTCTTTTCCTCTTGCTATGCTGGAAGCTGCACTAAGTCCTTAATGTGGGGAATGTTGTCAGAGCACTGCCGTTGTTTGTTTCCACAATCCTCCTTTGAGTTCAGGTGGGCATCGCACTATGCTTTAGAAGGTTTCTTTATGGCTTTCTCTTCACCCAATTTTTTAAGTATGGCTACATTCTATAAGTTTCTCTAAGGCAAGTCTTCTCTATTATACAAGGGTACTTTAAAAAGTTCATGGAAAGATTCCTATTATCCTCTCGTTTTATTTTTCCATGAACTTTCTGAAGGACTCTCATATTTGAACAACTCAAGGGTCTTTTTTTTCTTTTTTTGTGACCGGTAACGGGATCGCAACCCTTGGTGTTGCGCCCGCGCTGCGCTCAACCAGTGAGCGGACCAGTCTCTATATGGGATCCGAACCCTCGGCGGGAGCGCCGCTGCACTCTACCGAGTGCGCCACCAGGCCGGCCCGCAAGGGTCTTTTAAGAAAGAGTTCCCCTGCATGTTTAGTGGCTGAACGAATGCCCAAGAATTGGGACACATGGATCTATCTTCTCATTGACTGGATATATTAATTATATTCGGTCAATTAATTATATATAATATAACAGTTCCTCTTATATTTTCCACTACATGAATTCAACCTGGATCTCATTCTTCTCGACTTAGTGAAAGAAATGCATAGTGCCCTTTTAATCCACAGGAAGCACAAACAGCCTACAATGCCCACAACACTGCACAAGATTTAACTTAAAAAGACCAGAGGAAGGGGAGGCTGGTTCTTGCCCTCAATATGCTTTAACAGAGAGGAGAGACAAAGTGTAAATGAATTTGGGAACAGTTCCAGATCAACATGTTAGCAAGTCTAAGATGTGGTGCTATAAATGGAATGTGTACTAAAGAGACACTAGATATAGGAGTTATCAGTGACAGGGAGGGATTATCCAGGAAGGGCTTCCTGGAACTGGCCAGGTTTGCAATGAGAAGATAAAAAGGGTATTTAACATTTTGATGCTAACTCTTTACTGGTTATCTATTAAAATAATACAGTATTTCATTATTAATATTTAACTATGCTAAGAAATTTATTTACAGGGTCTTATTTCATCAATACAACAACACTGTGCATTATTTCTGTATTTCTCAAATGAGAAGTAGGTGCTCAGAGAGCTTAACTAACTCCCCAAAGGACACATAGCTAGGAAATGGCAACACTGGGCCTTGAAGTATTTTTGGTTTAATTCCCAAGGCCAGAATTTAATTAACCTAAATGTTATGATTAATAATATATGAATTTGAAATCTAAAGTGAAAAGTGTCCACAATGACACATACACATGTTAGACATGACATTCTAAATACTTTAGATTCTAGGAAGTGAGAAGAGATGTTTTACTAAAAAAAGCACTATTCTTTCCTCCTTAAATTATAAATCTATCTGTATAATTTGAAAGTTTATATCTAGGAACATCAGACTGAAGAGAAGCTACTATTCGTGGACTTGATAATAGTAGTTTGCAGTTCTAATTCTGAAAAGTACTAACGAAGCTTAAGCATCACCAGAAAATATGTTTAGTTTATTTAACAAATTCTTATATTTTGCTTCCTGTGTGCAGGCACTTTTCTAAATGCTTCATAAATGTCAACTCATTTGATCCATACAGCTGTGGGGTGGTATTAATATTACCCCCATCTTACAAATGAGAAGACTAAGGTTATGTAACTTGCCCAAAGTTACAGCTATGAAGGGGCACAGTTCGATGGGGCAGCCCCTGGGGCCTCACTGTTGACCACTGTCTGATGCTGTCTCTCTTATTAGGCTCTGCTTTGTGGCACCTGCAGAACTGAACAATAATAGTCCATGACACCTTCTTAATCCATTGCATTCTACACACTTGCCATTTATTAACTGTGCTAGTAACAATGTAGAGTTTTCACTTTTTTTTTTAGCTAAAGAGCTTCAAAATCACCACAGCAACAAAGGTTTCTTAGAAAATTATAAATGTTGACAACAGTCTTGTTTTCCTTCAGTTAGCAGGTGACTCACTGCATAGATATGATCATGTTTAGAACCTCATTGGCTTAGCAATTACATTTTAAAAATTATCTCAGTACAGCTCAGGGCCACAACAACACTTGCACCTTCTCAGTACTGATTCCTAAATTCATAAGCATTGCTCTCTGGAATATGTCACAGACCTATTGTCTAATCTGATAAACTGATTAGCTCATATCACTTGTGAGACAAAACATGACAAATTTCCGGTTAGGTGTTTTTTTCAAAGTTAATTAATGGTAGAAACTTGGGCATGTACTAGACAGTCTGTAATTGTTAAGGAAACCAGCTAAGAAGTATTTAGTCTGTATGCCTTTCAATTAAACATACTTTTCAAATGGTAGCAGCTAAGAAGTTGCGTGACAGTGACCTCCATTGGAGTGGAATTTGAATATTAATACATATTCATATACCTTAAGGTAGCATACAAGATTACATATAAAATAATACAGCAATCAGTTCTAAAAAAATATAAAGACACAGAAAAGCAAGACCTTGGAGAAAAAAAAATAAGAAAACAACACCCTTGGTGAACTGTAAGGGTCAGCAAAATTGCCATAATTGAGCCGGTGTTTATGTTTAGTTCCTTAAATTTTAATGCAAAAGAGAGACATTGCTTAGGTACACGGTTTTAGAAGAAAGCATACCAGTTTGTAAGGGGCTCAAAAAGTGAAATGTTACTCCCCTTTGATGGGAAAGACAGGACAAGTATGTGGCTGCAGCTGTTACTGTGATCCAGTCAAAGGTTGCTGTGTCTTTCCACTTCCGTTGCACAGAAATAAATGATTTAGGGAAAGTCAAAGAAAAGGTGAACTTTGCAGCTGTTTGAGAAAGCCTGCATTATTACTAGTGATGGCAGTTTAAGGGATTGGAGGTCTTAGTAAGAAAGAGAAGCTGGAGCAGAAAGAAAAAAGCCCAGGTACTTGTTGATATCAGGCTAGTGGGATGTCCTCCTCATCTGCACCAGCTCAGGGGGTGGTTGGACCCAACAAACGTTAAAGAAAAATAATAAGAGCAATCTAATTCAGATTAGGTTTTACAGTAGTTATGGAGAGGAAAAAGGGATTATTTGCTTTTTAATGCTTACGTTTAAGCATTTACACTCTGTATTAGTCTGTTTTGTGTTGCTATAACAGAAATACCTGAGACTGGATGATTTATAAAGAAGAGAAGTTTATTTGGTTTATGATTCTGGAACACTTACATCTGGCATAGGCCTCAGGCTGCTTCTACTCATGGCGGAAAGTGGCAGCCAGCTGGTGGGTACAAGCAGATCACATGGTGAGAGGAAGTGGGCGTGAGAGAGAGAGAGAGAGAGAGAGAGAGAGAGAGAGAGAGAGAGAGAGAGAGAGAGAGA